GCCCTGGCATTCCGCCATTGTGGGGGGGGCCCAAGTTGACAAAAAGGGTGTCTTCTGCAGAACATATGAAAAGGTCCCGCCTCCCTCCTGTGTCCTTGTAGAAACTTAGAAAAAGTGATGGCTAGAAAAGCCTGAGTGGTCCATCTACTCTGCTCATTTATTTCTTTTTTTGGGGGGGGGGGGGGGGGTGGGGGTGTTTTTGTTTTTTTGTTTTGTTAACTTTTTTGTCTGAGTATAGATCTATACTTGTCCCAGGCATGTTTGAAGCTATTTATTGTTGACTGGCTCACTACCTCTGCTGGAAGTTTATTTCAAGTATCAACTACTCTTTCAGTAAAATGGTACTTCTGAGATTAGTTTTGGACTTTCTTCCAGTTAGTTTATGGTCATGTCCCCGTGTTCCTGATTTTGGTTTCATGTTGAAATACTGCCCTCCTGAACCTTATTTGCCCCCTTGATGAATTTAAAGGTTTCAGTCGTGTCTCCCCTTTTCCTTTTTCCTCCAGACTGTACATGTTAAGTTCCTGAAGTCGCTCTTGATATGTTTTATTCCCCAGACCTGAGCCATTTTTGTTCCCCATCTCTGGGACTCGCTATCTTATCAATATCTTTTTGTAAGTGAGGTCTCCGGGATTGGACACAGTATTCTAAATGAGGTCTAATAAAGATCTATATAGAGGAATCGGGACCTCCTTCCTCCAGCTGGTGACCCCTCTATTGTAGTGATACACAGATCTATATAGAGGAATCAGGAAACCTCCTTCCTCCTGCCGGTGACCCCTCTAGTGATATAAAGATCTATATAGAGGAATGGGGACCTCCTTCCTCCTGCTGGTGACCCCTCTAGTGATATATAAGATCTATATAGAGGAATCGGGACCTCCTTCCTCCTGCTGGTGACCCCTCTAGTGATCTAAAAGATCTATATAGAGGAATCAGGACCTCCTTCCTCCTGCTGGTGACCCCTCTAGTGATCTAAAGATCTATATAGAGGAATCAGGACCTCCTTCCTCCGGCTGGGGACCCCTCTAGTGATATAAAGATCTATATAGAGGAATCGGGACCTCCTCCTTCCTCCTGCTGGTGACCCCTCTAGTGATCTAAAGATCTATATAGAGGAATCAGGACCTCCTTCCTCCTGCTGGTGACCCCTCTAGTGATATAAAGATCTATATAGAGGAATCAGGACCTCCTTCTCCTCCTCTGCTGGGGACCCCTCTAGTGATATAAAGATCTATATAGAGGAATCAGGACCTCCTTCCTCCTGCCGGTGACCCCTCTAGTGATATCAAAGATCTATATAGAGGAATCAGGACCTCCTTCCTCCTTCCGGTGACCCCTCTAGTGATATAAAGATCTATATAGAGGAATCAGGACCCCCTTCCTCCTGCTGGTGACCCCTCTAGTGATTATATAAAGATCTATATAGAGGAATCAGGACCTCCTTTCCTCCTGCTTAGGAGCTTGATGGTGACCCCTCTAGTGATATAAGATCTATATAGAGGAATCAGGACTCCTTCCTCCTGCTGGTGACCCCCTTAGTGATATAAAGATCTATATAGAGGAATCAGGACCTCCTTCCTCCTGCCGGTGACCCCTCTAGTGATATAAAGATCTATATAGAGGAATGGGGACCTCCTTCCTCCTGCTGGTGACCCCTCTAGTGATATAAAGATCTATATAGAGGAATCGGGACCTCCTTCCTCCTGCTGGTGACCCCTCTAGTGATCTAAAGATCTATATAGAGGAATCAGGACCTCCTTCCTCCTGCTGGTGACCCCTCTAGTGATCTAAAGATCTTATATAGAGGAATCCGGGGACCTCCTTCCTCCCTGGGGACCCCTCTAGTGATATAAAGATCTATATTAGAGGAATATCGGGACCTCCTTCCTTCCTGCTGGTGACCCCTCTAGTGATCTAAAGATCTATATAGAGGAATCAGGACCTCCTTCCTCCTGCTGGTGACCCCCTCTAGTGATATAAAGGATCTATATAGAGGAATCAGGACCTCCTTCCTCCGGCTGGGGACCCCTCTAGTGATATTTTCTATATAGAGGAATCAGGACCTCCTTCCTCCTGCCGGTGACCCCTCTAGTGATATAAGATCTATATAGAGGAATCAGGACCTCCTTCCTCCTCCGGTGACCCTCTAGTGATACCTCTAAAGATCTATATAGAGGAATCAGGACCCCCTTCCTCCTGCTGGTGACCCCCTCTAGTGATATAAAGATCTATATAGAGGAATCTGGACCTCCTTCGATCCCTGCTGGTGTGACCCTCTAGTGATATAAGATCTATATAGAGGAATCAGGACCTCCTTCCTCCTGCTGGTGACCCCTCTAGTGATATAAGATCTATATAGAGGAATCAGGACCTCCTTCCTCCTGCCGGTGGACCCCCTCTAGTGATATAAAGATCTATATAGAGGAATGGGGACCCTCCTTCCCCTCCTGCTGGTGACCCCTCTTAGTGATAAAGATCTATATAGAGGAATCGGGACCTCCTTCCTCCTGATGTGGGTGACCCCTCTAGTGATCTAAGATCTTATATAGAGGAATCAGGGACCTCCTTCCTCCTGCTGGTGACCCCTCTAGTGATCTAAAGATTCGCTCTTATAGGAGGTATCAGGACCTCCTTCACTCCGGCTGGGGACCCCCCTCTAGTGATATAAAGATCTATATAGAGGAATCGGGACCTCCTTCCTCCTGCTGGTGACCCCTCTAGTTGAATCTACTCAATATTGAGGAATCAGGAACCTCCTTCCTCCTGCTGGTCCCCCCCTCTAGCGATATAAAGATCTATATAGAGGAATCGGGACCTCCTTCCTACGGTTGGGGACCCCTCTAGTGGGATATAAAGATCTATATAGAGGTAATCAGGACCTCTTCATTTCCTGCCGGTGACCCATCTAGTGATATAAGATCTATTAGAGGGAATCAGGAGCCCTCCTTCCTCCTTCCGGTGACCACCTCTTAGTGATATAAAAGATCGATTTATATAAGAGGGAATCAGGGGACCCCCTTCCTCCTGCTGGTGACCCCTCTAGTGATATAAAGGGGATCTATTATAGAGGGGAATCAGGACCTCCTTCTCCTGCTGGTCCCCCTTCTAGTGATATAAAAGATCTATATAGAGGAATCAGGACCTCCCTCCTTCCTCCTGCTGGTGAACCCTCTAGTGATATAATGGATCTATATAGAGGGAAAATCAGGACCTCCTACTCCTGCTGGTGAGCACCCCTCCTTCGAATTTTTATTCACCTTATGAGCAATAAAGATTTATATTGTTAATGTGATAGGAGCCTGATCTAATCTATATTCTTTTTTTTTAAAAGGGTTAGAGTTCCACTTTCAGCTTCTCTCCCTCCCTTTTCTTATTTTTGGCACCTTTTTTTTTTTTTTTTGGGGGGGGAGGTCTTTTGACAGGTACTGCTCCCACTTCCGTTGGGATTTCTGTTTTAAATCCACCAGAAGTGCTCCACTGCTGTCCTCAAAACCTGTTTTCGTAGAACATGTCCCACAGGTCCCAGATGCTACAGAAACCATTCACAAAGTGCCCCCCAGTCTGGCTCACACATTACGCAGTGGGAAGCCAAATTCTGTGAAGCTGCAAGGAATCGCAGCGGCTGCCCCCAAGTAAACATGCTGGCTCCAGGGGACCCAAAAAGACTTCTTGCGAAGTAAAACCAGTTCAGGTGAAGACAGGTAAGTGTCCCTTTATTAAAAACTTAGCAGCTACAAATACTTCATCAGGGCTAGAAAGAACATAAGATTTTCATTTTTTTCAATCTGACATCAACACAATATCCCTCAAAGGGGTCATACTGGAATCCAAACAGTCAAATCATGAGGGGGAGTTATCAAAAAAAAGTACCAAAAAAGTACCAAACGTTTTTTTTTTTTTTACCCTTTAATAAGGGGTATATAAAAACCAAAAAACTTTTGTAATTCTCTCTCTCTCTCTATTATATATATATTTATATTACACTTGCATGGGGTGAAATTAGCATTTTTTTATATATTACAAAATATATGAAAAACTAATTTTAAAAAATATATATTTTTTATATATGTTCTTCAGATTTTTTTTAACACATAAAAAGCCAATCTGCATATCAAATTCAGGTAAAATCAACTTTTTCAATTAAAGAAAAGCTTGCATTTTTTTTTTTTACAAATGTCTTCCTTGTTAAGTCTTTATTCATCATAACCAGCCCCAATTACCCGCTTTACTTCTTCTCTCTTTAGCTATTATTTTTCTGCTGGTTTTTATTTTCTATTTTTTAAAGTCAGATTTTTTTTGTTTTAAACCATTGTTTTTAACTTTTTAAAAATGCAATAAAGGGTACTTTTAGGGTCATTATAAATGGTACAAATTATACAATTAAATACTTTTTTTTTATCAACACTAGCTCTAGTTTTTTTAAGTAAAGTGTTACTAAAACCCACAAACAAGGGCGGACTGACCATTTGGAAACTCAGGCACTGCCCGAGGGCCCGGGGTCAGTAGGGGGCCCCATAAGATGCCCCTGGTACCTTTTTCAAAGGCTTTTTTGAGTTTGGGCAAGGACACAGGGGCCCTATGATCCCCTATTGTCCGGGGGCCCCATGAGTTGTCAGTCCGCCCCTGCCCACAACATAGCAATGCAGTAAAGAATGCCTGTTATACTCACTGTGGAACCTAAGGGGTTAATCCTCTGCATTGTGTAAAAAGGCTGTTTGATCCTGTCTTCTCTGCTCCTCCTTTTGTTGAAATGACCACCTGATACAGACTAAATTCATAGTCACATACACATGCTCAGTTTGGTGTGTATTGCTAGAGAGGTTTTTCTTTTTCTTTGGAGAGTACATGTAATCAGCACAGGGCCAATCAGCACTGTACAGTCAGAGGTCAGGGGTTCTGCATCCTCCTAGAGCAGAAAGAAAACTCCTCCTACAAGCTTTAACAAGCGTTCTGTTGAAGTCACAAGACTGCTATATACTGCTGATGAGAAAAGGTATTTAGCAGTTTATATTTACTAAAATAATTGCATTTCCATGTTCTGTGTACTGTGGGAGACCGAATATAGTGAATGCAGGGTCTGGAGAGACCAGATATAGTGAATGCAGGGTCCGGGGAGAGCGGATATAGTGAATGCAGGGTCTGGGGAGACCAGATATAGTGAATGCAGGGTCCGGGGAGATGAGCGGATATAGTGAATGCAGGGTCCGGGGAGAGCGGATATAGTGAATGTGGGGTCCGCGGAGAGTGGATATAGTGAATGCGGGGTCCGCGGGAGAGCGGATATAGTGAATGCGGGGTCCGGGGAGAGCGGATATAGTGAATGCCAGGTCCGGGGAGACCAGATATAGTGAATGCAGGGTCCGGGGAGAGCGGATATAGTGAATGCAGGGTCCGGGGAGACTGGATATAGTGAATGCAGAGTCCCGGGAGAGCGGATATAGTTAACGCAGGGTCCGGGGAGAGCGGATATAGTGAATGGGCGGGGGAGCCAATGCGGGGTCCGGGGAGACCAGTAATAGTGAATGCAGGGTCCGGGGGAGAGCGGATATAGTGAATGCGGGGTCCGGGGAGAGCGAATATAGTGAATGCGGGGTCCGGGGGAGAGCGAATATAGTGAATGCGGGGTCCGGGGAGACCGGGATATAATGAATGCAGGGTCCGGGGAGAGCGGATATAGTTAACACAGGGTCCGGTGAGAGCGGATATAGTGAATGCAGGGTCCGGGGAGAGCGGATATAGTGAATGCAGGGTCCAAGGAGACCAGTAATAGTGAATGCAGGGTCCGGGGAGAGCGGATATAGTGAATGCAGGGTCCGGGGAGAGCGTATATAGTGAATGCAGGGTCCGGGGAGAGCGGATATAGTGAATGCAGGGTCCAAGGAGACCAGTAATAGTGAATGCAGGGTCTGGGGAGACCAGATATAGTGAATGCAGGGTCCGGGGGAGAGCGTATATAGTGAATGCAGGGTCCGGGGAGACCGGATATAGTGAATGCGGGGGGTTAGGGACACTTTAAGGGTAATACCTCATCTGGAATATGCAGTTCAGTTTTGGGCACCAATTCACAAAAAAGAACATTGGGGAACTGGAGAAAGTACAGAGAAGGGCAAACAAACTGATTTGAGGCATGGAGGAGATCAGCTATGAGGAAAGATTAGAGGAACTGAATTTATTCTCTCTTGAGAAGAAGAGAATAAATACACAGAATATAACTGGATATAACATTTATAGGGAAAGTTGATCCAGGGAATATCCGATTGCCTCTCGGGGGATCAGAAAGGAATTTTTCCCCTGCAGGAGCAGATTGGATCATGCTCTTATTGAGGTTTTTTTTTTTTACTTCCTCTTTCTGTTGGTTGAACTGGATAGACTTGCGTCTTTTTGTAACCACATTAACTATGTAACTATATGCTCAAATAAAAAGGTGTGTTTTGTGCAATTTTTTTTTTAAAGATTGGGTAGAAAAAAAAATAATTTTTGCAAGACGGTATCACCAAAAGAAATCCTTGTTTGTTCCAAAAAATATAGGCTTTACTTTGTTTTCTTAAGTAATAACAAAGTTATTGACAAAGAAGCAGCACCATAACCAGAAAAAACGGATCTGATATACAGTTCTGAGAATTGAACTGGTTACTAAAAATAAGTCATTATTAAGAGTGTCAAAAGGCGACTGATTATTCTTTTGTGACAATCAGGTCATGGCATGTATGGGAAGATATTTGTTGTATGTGATAATTCAGCAATTATGATACAGGAATGACTAGCTTCTGCAAATATTCATATAAATAAAAAAAATCAGTTTTCATAACCTGACCTGACCAGGGGTGGCGCCAACCCTTACCGCTAATTTCTTCCTCTACAGCAGGGGTGTCAAACTGGCGGCGCTCCAGCTATTGCAAAAACTACAAGTCCCATCATGCCATAATTATTAATAATAATAGTAATAATAATAATAATATATTGAGAAGCTACTTGTAAAGGCACTATATAAAATAAAGTTTTATTATTATTATTAATAATAATAATAATCTTTATTTTATATAGTGCCTCTACAGGTAGCTTCTCAATATATTATTTATTATTATTATTATTAATAATAATAATAAATAATAATAATAATAATAATAATAATAAACAACTTTATTTTATATAGTGCCTTTATAGGTAGCTTCTCAATATATTATTATTATTATTATTATTAATAATAATAATAATAATAATAAAAAATTGAAAAGCTACCTGTAGAAGCACTTTATAAAATAAAGTTTAATATTATATTATTATTAATATTACTAAGTTAGCCAGCAGTTAAGGGGTAAAGTCTGGTGTTTTAATGCCCATAACTGGCTGTCATAAAGCCATTTAGCGTTTCAGACAATTCAGCTCTGACATAAAATCATAACTTCTGATTTGATTAAATTACATTAGTAACACTCATCCCCCTGAATATAGAAGATTCATTTTAGGACTAAATACAAAGGTGTGGGGGGGGGGGGCTATTAGAACTTGTGATCCCTTTGTAGAGAGCCACACATAGTGGATATACCACGTTTAGTCTCGTCTTAATCATGAGATCATGCTGCGTGATAAAATGAATTATGAGGCTGAAAGTGCCAAATGCCAATGCCGTGTCCCCATATTTGTGGAAGTGGCTGGGATGTGATACAGCCGTCAGTCACAATCAGAAAATCAGAAATTAAAAACTTTGAAGTGGTCATCAGAGCAAGATGTAGGGGAAGAAACATATCATATCACACATATAGCAAAGCATTATAGTAATGTCAAGAGGAAACCTTCTTTTCTGGACGATAAAGATGTTTTATATTTTTTTTTTATTTTCTGGCAGGATTCTGTGAGCTGTGTTGGGGCTGAGAAGAGGTCTCAGCATGAGCAATAGAATGGCAGGGGGGCTCCGCCTCCTGCTCCTGGCAGGTAAGACATCAGGTTGTGTGATCTTCAAATGTTACTTTATTGGTATGTTCCATATTGATTCATTGATCATTCATTGATCATTCATTGATCATCCACACGTCATCTAAAGATTGGTCTCATTTTTATTTATCTGCTGTTCATTTTCAGAAACACATTTTTTTTAACTAGTTACATTCTGTACCATTTATCCAAAATCTGGATTCTTTTTCAATTCTCAGGAACATTTGCTGGTTTTATGATACGGATAATCAGAGGTGTAGCCTTAAGATTGTGGGCCCCGATGCAAAAGTTGACCTGGGGCCCCACACTACCACCCACCGTATTTTAGGTCCCTTTTTTTTCTCTCTCAAATATGACTGTTGGTTTTTTTTTTCCAATGAGATATTCAGATTAAGTAGATGCAAATTATAATTAGTGGATGTCATCTTATATTGTGTTCTACTGACTATAGATTACAATTTCTGATGTAACTTTTAACTGGTTATATTCTAAATAAGTGCCGCTGTGTTAATAAAATATCCATTTCCATTTTTTTTGATCCTTTGTTATATCTCAGCGCTGCTGATTCTGCCAGGGAGACCCTTTTTTTAAACACATCCTGTTATGGGAGTGACAACGCTCTCTCCCTGTCTCCTAGTGGTGCTCCTGCGTTGTCACCCTATAACAGGCAATGGACTTTTATGGCGGGGTCACCAAGAGTATTTCTAATGTTGCAGATCTAACAAAATTGAAGATGACTTTTGAAGTTACATTGACATGGTAAAAATTCTGAGAGTAAAAAATGAAAGTTCAGTGAAATGACACTTATTTGTTTTTGTTTTCTTTCAGGGCTTATATTGGTTACAAACTGCCAATCGACAAGTGAGTTTTTTGTGTTGTGCGCATTTTAAAAAATATAATGAAAAACACGCTTAGGCCAGTTACATACAATATTCATAATCAATTTTCTGAGCATGTCCAAGAAATGTAAACAAAGAGGTGACGGGAATATCATTATCATAAAGAGAAAATATATATAAACAATACATCTAAAGCCAAAAACAAAAATGTATATTAAACTATACATACTATTGTATATAAATATAATTATTATATATAGATTTACAGTATCTCACAGAAGTGAGTCCACCCCTCACATTTTTGTAAATATTTGATTGATTCTTTTCTTGTGACAACACTGAAGAAATGACGCTTTGCTACAATGTGACGTAGTCAGTGTACAGCTTGTATAACATGTAAATTTGCTGTCCCCTCAAAATAACTCAACACACCGCCATTAATGTCTAACCCGCCGGCAACAAAAGTGACTCCACCCTAAGTGACAAGGTCCAAATTGGGCCCAAAGTGTCAATATTTTGTGTGGCCGCCATTATTTTCCAGCACTGCCTTAACCCTCTTGGGCATGGAGGTCACCAGAGCTTCACAGGTTGCCACTGGAGTCCTCTTCCACTCCTCCATGACGTCATCACGTAGCTGGTGGATGTTAGAGACCTTGCGCTCCTCCACCTTCCATTTGAGGATGCCCCACAGATGCTCAATAGGATTTAGGTCTGGAGACATGCTTGGCCAGTCCATCACCTTTACCCTCATCTTCTTTAGCAAGGCAGTGGTGGTCTTGGAGGTGTTTGGGGTCATTATCATGTTGGAATACTGCCCTGTGGCCTAGTCTCATCATGCTCTGCTTCAGTATGTCACAGTACATGTTGGCATTCATGGTTCCCTCAATGAACTGTAGCCCCCCAGTGCCGGCAGCACTCATGCAGCCCCAGACCATGACACTCCCACCACCATGCTTGACTGTAGGCAAGACACACTTGTCTTTGTACTCCTCACCTGGTTGCCGCCACACACACTTGACACCATCTGAACCAAATCAGTTGATCTTGGTGTCATCAGACCACATGACATGGTTCCAGTAATCTATGTCCTTAGTCTGCTTGTTGTCAGCAAACTGTTTGCAGGTTTCTTGTGCATCATCTTTAGAAGAGGTTTCCTTCTGGGATGACAGCCATGCAGAACAATTTGATGCAGTGTGCGGTGTATGGTCTGAGCACTGACAGGCTGACCCCCCTCACCCCTTCAACCTGAAGCAATGCTGGCAGCACTCATACATCTGTTTACCAAAGACAACCTCTGGATATGACGCTGAGCACGTGCACTCAACTTTTTTGGTCGACCATGGTGAGGCCTGTTTGGAGTGGAACCTGTCTTGTTAAACCGCTGTATGATCTTGGCCACCATGCTGCAGCTCAGTTTCAGGGTCTTGGCAATCTTCTTATAGCCTCGGCCATCTTTATGTAGAGCAACAATTCTTTTTTTCAGATCCTCAGAGTTCTTTGCCATGAGGGTACCATGTTGAACTTCCAGTGACCAGTATGAGAGAATGAGAGCGATAACACCAAATGTAACCCACCCGCTCCCCATTCACACCTGAGACCTTGTAACACTAAGGAGTCACATGACACTTGGGAGGGCAAATGGCTAATTGGGCCCAATTTGGACCTTGTCATTTAGGGGTGGAGTCACTTTTATTGCCAGTGGTTTAGACATTAATGGCGGTGTGTTGAGTCATTTGAGGGAGGGGGACAGCAAATTTCCATGTTATACAAGCTGTACACTGACTACGTCACATTGTAGCAAAGTGTCATTTCTTCAGTGTTGTCACATGAAAAGAGAGAATCAAATGCATCAAACACAAGCTGCATAGGTGTGAAGCTAGAATTAGATAATGTTGCAACATTTTATTCCATGTATCAATTAAATACAAATGATTGAGGTATGAACAGATGTAACACGTCAGATGGACACATGATGAAATGACACGGGAGCGGTGCGCAGTGCTGGAAATTGTATACTTAACTACACAAAACTATTTATTTCCCGATACAAGAAATTCATTCTATATATTGCACAGACTTCTGTTTCAACCAGTGTGGATCTGATAATTTTAAC